GGTGCAGGCATTTGGGGATATCCACGAAGACCCCGTAGGCTAGAGCTGATTCGAACGCAGATGGTAGGTGTAGGAGTTGATCTAGGAGATCGGGCCTGTAGCTACGCATTGCCTATAATAACCACGTGGGGGTCAAGCTGGTCAAGCTTGGTTTTCTCTGCTGTCTTCATGACTGACTTCTCAAACAACCTCATCAGCTGTACATCTGTTGATTTGGTCATTCAGACGCTGAAAACCCCAGACTGACCGTTTTCCCTCCCACGCTTGGAGCCTATGTGTCTGGGATACCAACCAAAATCCATCGGCTAAAATTCAAAAGAAAAATGGAACAATTTGGCTAGGAGGATGTTCACGGCAGTGTAAATGAAACTGTTTCCTCTAAGAGAACAGATTTAATAAATTATAGCCATCCATATGATAGAGGAAGAATTATATAGCTATTAAATACAGGTTTTCAAGGAATATCTAATGACATGGGAAAATAAATCTGGATACCATATTCTACTAATTAGAAGAAAAAAAGCTATATACATAAACACCTAGAAGAAAGGAAGAAATGCAGCAAATACACCGAAATGTCAACAATGATTCTCTTTGTATTTTCTATCATGTCCACTGTGACCATGTTATTTTTTAGCATCAGGAAAAAATGTTTTGTTTTGTTCTCTCTCTCTTTTTTTTTTTAAACCAGAGGGATGATTTCGAAGACTAAAAAAAAAAAAAAAAAAAAATTACAAACTAACTTGTAAAGGGTGGTGTGTGACTGCTGGTTGTGGATTACACAGGACACTTCCATCTCTGCTAGCCACAACACACATCTCTCCCAAATATCAACCTGCATACTTCCGAGTCTCAGAAAAGCTTCACCAGTTTGCCCCGCTTTAACCTGCCTCTTTCTCCTTATCTTTCTCCCTTTCTCCCAGGACTCTTCCCTCGGCCCCATGGAGACACTGGGCTCTCCCTGATGTCTGTCCTGAGAACAGCGAGAGTCCTGACTTTATTAAGATTCAAAACTGCTAAGCAGGCCCACTACAAGCTCCTGCACTATCTGGACCCCATTCCTACCTACTCTCTCCCCTCTCTGGTGTCACTCATCACTATCTCCTTGCCCCAGGGCCTTTGCACAAGCTGTTCTCTTTGCCTGGACCCATCTTCTTTTAGGTAGCTGCAAGGGCTTATTCCTTCACCTGTATGTATTTGGCCCTATTATGTGGTATTATCCATGGATTTCCTTTCAGGACAGTAAAGAGTGCTATAAAATACTTGCTATTAAAAAAAAAAAAAAAGCAATGGGTCTGATGAAGTTAAGGACCCCTGCTGTACTGTGATTGCTGGTTGGCATTTCTGTCTCTCACACTAAATTAGAAACTCTGGCCGGCTGGGAGGGCAAGAACTGAGCCAAGGCCTATTTGCCAAAACAAATAAATGAACACATGAGCAGGCTGGTGATCTCTGACGGGGGGCGGCTAGGGGCAGTTACTGGTGAAAAGCTTTGACCTCCCTGGCTTGTGAGAGGCGAGCTGCTCTCTTGCCAGTGTGTACAGGGATCTGACTGGAAGGCCCTGAAGATCACTATCTGGCCAGGAACTCTCTAGAAGCCCAGCCACTCACCACGCCTGCTGAAGGCTCCTGGCTCCACAAAGATCACAGAGCCCATGGCTATTCCATATACTGTAAAGCTTACAGCTTCACCGTGGGTGAGGGAAGTAGTCCCTGAGAATTAGGAGGCCACAGCTCAGACCTCTGAGGCTGGCACTTCGATGTGCCAGTGAATGAGATACAATACTCTGTGTATCTCAATGAGATACACATACCCTCTATATCTGTGGGCTGGGATCCCTCACCTCTCCCCACCTCCCCGCCCCACGGTTGAGGATCAAACAGACTGCGAACACCAGAAGCTCAGGTCAACTGTGTGGACTATGCAAATGTCGGTCGGCATGACAGGGAACAATGACCGTACGGAACATAATTAAATCTTTGGTGACTCAGAGGCCCTTCAAGAGCTGAAGCTCATCATCATCCACATCAAGTATCACTGAATAGTATTTTGGATCAAATTCTGATTGTTGCAACTTTCTCGGTATTAAAAAATCTCGATGAGCAAAGCTTTTTCTATAACCTATCGAAGCGTGCAGGTGACCCACTGGAGTCCACTCCGGTCCTGCGCGCGTCCCCAACCGCCCACACGGTCCTTGCGGATGGAGAGAGGGTTTGTCTACTTAGGCAGAACGCATTCACTTGAGCAGAAAGCCCTGCTCTGGTAAGGATGGGGGGGAACAACCCACCCCTCAGACTCCACCCTCTTCCTTTGATCCTCCCACTGAATGCCGGGCTGGAGCACAGAAGCGAAGCGGTTCAGATATAATTATTTTCATTCAGCCAGATGCTGGGAATTAGTCTCTTTTCCTTACAAGTATTCTAGGGAAAGACAGAACGCAGCCAAAGGCACCCCAAAAGAAAAGGAGCTGACAATCTCAAGAGGAAGGAAGGGAGCCCACCCCCCACCTCCTTGCCTTGGAACGGCTTAGACGAGGAAACCGGCTACCACCCCTGGATGAAGGGGGGGGAGGGGAAGGAGGAGGAAGGGGGAGACACCTAATAAATACTAAACACGGGCTGTTTTGCCAATCCCAGAAAACCAGACCGAGGACAGCACCCAGCATGGTCTGGAGCTTTAGAATTCCCAAAGCACTTTCGCTTCTATTACCTGATTTAATTAGAAACTAGGGAGGGAGTCACAGGCTGAGCTAGAAGTTGGGGACAAACCCAAGTTAGGCTTCAAGGAATTCAGATTCCAAATTTCTGCAGACACCTGTTAGGCCCAGTCTCCTCCACGAACCCCTTCAATCCTCACGGCAGGCACGCCATCAGCCCCAACATACAGGTGGAGAAACTGAGGCTCAGGGAGCTTAAATAGCTCTACTATATGTCAGCTGGGTTTCCTCTTCTTTGTCTCAACCCCAGTAACTTCCAGATGGTCAGCATACACACTTGTAAGAGTTTCCACCATCATCTGGTGCTAACCGTTTGGTCATTCATTCAGTTGCAGATTCCTGAGAGATCCCTGTGAATGCCTATCCGCACACCAAGCCCTCGGCTGGGGCCAGGCATGGGGCCAGGATCAGGACCGGTGTGGCTCTGCCATCAAGTTCCCAGATCCACCAAAATAAACAGCCAGAGAAGCCAGAAGAATGAGCACTTGGGTATAAGCTGATGTGGTCATCACTATACTGTGATTCTGCATCTTACTTTCCCACCGGAAGCCCCCAAAAGCAGAGTTGGGGACCCCACCGCCTGTCAGTTAAAGACTCTGACTCTAGGACCAGACTGCGTGGGTTCACATCTCTTCTACCCAGTGGCTAAGTGACCTTGGGCAGGTCATTTAACCTCTCCAAAAAATAAAAACTGTAATATACCAGATATGATAATATCTCATACAGTAAGACCTACAGTCTTATATCACATATTATAATAATACAGATAAATCAGTCAACCATGTAAACCGCTCAGCATAATTGCTCAATTAATCTTGGCTAACAATTTATATACCCATAGTAAGAGTTCTCGAAGTATGGACCAGGGACCCTCAAAGGGTGGTCTGTGAGGCCAAAGCTATTTTTGTAATAATATCAGTAAGACATGAAATTTTTTAGAAGTTACCTAACACTGATATCACAACAGATTGACTACAGAAACATATATGAGACTCCAGCCCTCTTCTGTTCAGCCTGACATTAAAGAGATTTACAAAAAGTCCAAAACAAGGCCACTCTTCTCACTAAATGACTTTTGTTTTGGAAAATACAGTTATTTTTCAAAAAAGTTGTTATTTATGTTATTCTATAATGGGTTAAACTGTTGTCATTTTTAAATGAGTTAATATATTTTTTTAAATTTATCAATTTTATTTTCTAATACGGCAAATATTTACGGTTAACAAATAACCATAGTTGCGCTGACTTCCCTGGAAGGTCAGAAAATCTTGTTTCTTCTCCTCCCTCCTAGGCCCTCTTACGTGAGCCCAAGATGAATTTGGGTTCCCAGGTTACCCAGGCTCTGGCTACCTCGTCCTTCTCTCCCGAGGACACACCCATTCCCACCTGAGTTTCCTAATCAACCAGAGAGGCATGCAAGGCTGGGAATGAGCCTCCGTTTTAGAATTGGGTTGACCCAGATTAGAACCATGACTCTACCACTTACTGTCTTTGAACAGATGGTTTAGCTTCTCTGAGCCTCAATTTCCTTATTCATACAATGGGAATAACAACAGTACCTACCTCTTGGGATTGTTGTCAGGAATAGTGACAACTTACACAAAACACCCACCCCTTGACAAATAACAACTATCATCGTTACTGTGTTTCATCGTTACTATCAGCCATCCGGTCCCCCAAGCCCTTCCTGGGTGTGCTCAGCTGCCCCTTCCACTGTCCCCATCTCCCTCTTCTCCACAGTCCCACAGAAGGAGCAAAACCAGGGGCTGCGTGGGATTGCAGCCTCTGGCTTCGCAACACGCACACCCCAACCACGCGTCCTCACTCCCTCAATCCCAAGCAGGGTGTCACCCTACTCCAGAGCTAAAAGCGAAACATGACAGCTAACTGCCAAGCACCCAGGCTCACGACTGAAAAAGCCCTCTGCTGCCAGGGCTGGAGCCAAAGCAGTCTTGGTTCAGGGAGAGAGGACCATGACGAGGAATGGAGGCACCCCAGCCTAGAAGGCTGGGGACCAGGGCCCCAGCTGGCTCTGCCACTAATTGTGGGTGAGTTCCATCCCTTCTGGGCCTCAGTCGGCTCAGCTATAAAAGGAGGAGACAAACTTCTAGCTCAGATGTTACAGAATTCTTGGACAGCCAGGTAAAACTGGGGAGCCCTGACTTGCCCAGATCCCTCGAAGGACACGTGTGGCCCTGGGGTCACAGGGAGCGCAGCCTGCCCTCTGCCACGGCTCCACCCCCACCCCCACCAGACCCGGTCCTGAGTCCCTCTGCCACTCACCCTACAGTTGCTCAGCTCCTCAGCGGACAGGATGATGGTGCCACATTTCTTCCCTGGGACCCCACTGGGAGAGGAGAAGATGAAAGAATGGAGAGCCAGACAAAGACAAACAAAGCCTAAACACTCCCTGAATGGGCCCTCCTCAGCCTCCCCCTTCCCCAACCAGCAGATCTGCCCAGAGCCCCTGAGAAGACAGAGTCTCTGAAATACTTGTGGCAGTGTAGCCTAGAGCACTTGCTTCCTGGGCCAGGACCCCCAGGCCTGGAACTGCCCCGCCCCCTGCTCCCCCAAGAGCCCGCCAGGAAGTATAGTGCCTGCAATGAAAGTCCTAGAAGCGGAAAAGCATCCAGACTCACCCGGAGGCTTCCAGACCAGTGGTTCTCAAACTTTCCATCCAAAGACCACTTCTGTGGGCAAAAGACCTCGTGGGCCAGCCACCCCACCCTGCACCCAGCTGACCCCCAGAGTCCTGGAACCTTTCAGCTCTGAGCCACTCTGATTGATCATGGGTGGGAGAGCAAGCAGCAAGAGGGAGTTAAGCAGAAGGGCTGGTATCCTCCCAGTGGTAGCTTGTCCAGGCCCTCTCCCATGGCTAACTCCCCTTGAACATCTTGGCTGGGGTCTCTCCAGGGAAGAGAGATCCCATGGCCATTCATGCAGCTCCTCAGTGAGGTGGGCAACCATGATATGAAGTCGGCCCACCCAGAGAATCCCCACCAAGAGGTAGAGTTCCCAAGCTGGGGCTTCCCCCAGGGAACCTGGACCACCTCCCCCCTGGGTCAGGAGGGCCCCCTCTCCCGGGCACCAGCCCATTCCACTCCAGTGTTTGGGACAAACCCGGGGTTGTGGGTCTCTGGTGTGGCCAGGGGCCACTGGGAAGGAGGGAAAAAAATGTCATGCTGTCCAGTAGCTGTTTAACTTTGGACTCATGATGGTACTTCTCCAACTCCCGGGTTCCTCGCCCAGAGAATGAGTATGTTTGTAGGCTCCATGAGTAAGAATGTGCACACGCAGCGCATGGCACCAAAAAAGGCTCCCAAGGAGCACCATTTCGCTCCCTGCCTCCTTTCCTTCACAATCTCCCCAAGCTGCTAAAATCCAGCCCCACACCTCAGGCCAGCCTTGAGGCTCCCAGCCTGCTGTCTGCAGAACACACTTTGAGAACCACTGATGGAGCTCTCCCCAGTGCCAGCTTCTGGAGGGAGAGGCTCTCAAGTACAGGAGGCAGGGGCGCTGGCCCCTGAGGCTGAGACAGCCTGGATCTCTCCACATCACGTGAGTAGAGTAGGGTCCCCTGCCACAGGCCTGCCAGCTTGTCCCCTTAGACATGGGCCAGTGAGCAGAGTGCCCCTGCTCTGGTCTGGCCCTCACGGGTATAAAGACATGATTTGTTTGACCAGAGAGACAATCCTCACACCATCCTCCTCCGCCAGTGTTTCTCCATCTGTTCCTCCCTCTGCCTCTGGGCCCTGGGCCCTTCTTTGATTTCCCATCTTCCCTTCCCTCCCCTCCAGACCCAACCGCTCCCACCTGCCTGGGGCCTTCCTTTTGCTCCCCCATTGCCTTTCCAGCCCTCCCTCCCTGGTTCTCTCCCAGACTCCTGCTCCATCTCCAACTGCTGCTTCCATAACTCTCCGTGAAATAAGCATCCACACCCTTCCTGGGCTGTGAGCACCCAGGGCCCCCAGAGGCCCCTTTCCCATATCCAGCGGCCCCAGCAGCCAGTCCAGCGGCTGGGACCCTGGCTCCTAGGAGCTCTCAGCAAGGAGAGGGGAGTTTTGCTTACTCAGCCAAAATGCTCACTCAGCAAAATGCTCAATGGTGTGAAGCCCCTTTAGGCTGGCCCCTGCCCCCGGGGGGGGGGGGGCAGATATTCCCTATCCTGCCCCACCCACACCCTCTGATGAGGATCCTCCCTCCAACCAGGAGAAGGGGAGCGGGAAGGAGTACCAGGGCGGGGGAGTGGTGTGTCTTTGTTGCATGTAGTTGCAGGAAGCCGGCCAAAAACAGATGGTTGGGGTGGAGGCCAAGGGAGCAAGCAAGGCAGGCCCACCAGCGACAGGGAGCAAATACAGACAGTAAGGATTTAGCAGAATCTATTCTGAAAGGAGGCTGACATCCAGCAGTGGAAGCAATGGAGGGGAAGTGGGGTAAGAAGCTAAACAGAAGGGAGGGACCGAGGGAGGGGAAAAGGGCAAGAGGTAGGAGGTGGAAAAAACCAGGACAGGGAGAGAGGCAGGGCAAGTGCCCAGCTCCTGCTGGCCACTGGAAGCAGCCCCTACCTCTGCTCCCCACCCTGCTCCCAGAAGTCCCATGAGCCACTGCGGTTGGGGATGCTAGAGCTGCAGCCGGGTGTGGGAGGGGCCAGCTGCAGAGTGGCACTTGTGCACACTCAGTGCACACTCTCTCTCTCTCTCTCCCCAAACCCCCATCCCCACCCTGCCTGACCCGGGCTGAAGGCACAGTGGTGGGAACAGGGCCCAGGCCTGGACACTGAGGCCCCCTCTGCAGAGCCGGCTGGATGTCTGAGGACTCCAGGGCCAAGGATGTCTGCTGACCTACCCGTTGGACACAGCTGGCATGGGTTTGCCTGTCCTGGAATTCAGGCTGAATGCTCCTATCCTGTAGAGAGAGAGGCAGAGAAAGCATGTCATGAGTCAAGCCCCCAGTCCTGAGAGGCCATAGCACTTGGCATCAGAATTCTTGGAGAAAGGTATCCGTTCCACATCAAACAGGACCAAGAGCTGCAGGCCAGAGGAAGGAGAGGTGTTCCTCCCAAACCTTGCTGTGAGGTGCTGGGTGACTCTACCTCGGGGTCCTCAAATTGTGATCTGGGGCCCAGCACCATCAGCATCCCCAGAGAATGTGTTAGAAATGTAAGTTCTCAGGCAGCCCCATAGACTAAGGGGGGGGGGCAGCCGAAGGCTGTACGCTTTGAGGACCACAGCTCTACCTCTAGACTGTGAAATGGGGAGACTGCTGAGAGAATCACGGGAGATCAGAGAAGCTGATGTCAGTCTAGTCCTGAAGAGATGACCCAAGGAAAGGGAGGTGTTGTGTGTGGGTCTAGCAGGGAGACGAGAGACAGACACACGACATTTTCAGTATGGGAAACAGATCCCCCTCCTTCACCAATCCATCATCTCCAAGATCCTGCTGGCCCCCCCAAGGCTTGCCTCCCCAGCTGTCTCCTGTGGAGGTCTTCCTCAATTCACTTAGCAGGTGTGCCTGTCCACCATGGGTGGGCTGGGTGACAGCAGGGAAGAAACAGACCAGAATGACAACCAGTCTTTTGACCCACATCTGGGAGCCAAGATGGGCAGACACACACACTCACTCTGGGAACCCCAAATTCTATAAACGTCAGAGCCCTGCAAACCTGGGTGTTTTCCCTATTCTCAATAAATGATAGCATATATCACTATTCTCTGTGAACCCAGAGAAGGAGACCTTCTCAGGGACAGAGAGGCCTCTCCAGGGGCCCTGAAGTTAACATACAGTTAGTGGGAGTCAGAGACCAGGGGCTGGGAGAGAGACCCCCGTTCCTGACCATAATGCATTCTGCGCTTCTTGGTCACAGCGAGGGGATAGCACCCAGTTCGAATTTAGCAGAAGCCAGCAGGGAGCTGATACCCAGCCCAGCCTGCTCTCCCCTTCCTGCCCATCCTGCCATGTGGCCGGGACACCTGTCCCAGTCTGCAGGCTCCTTTTGTCTGGGTTCTGCCCCTAGGGCTTCCTGAGAAATAGGGACAAGAGAGGGCAGTCCCACTACCCAGCCATCCTTAGTTGGTCCCTACAGCCGCCTGCAGCTTCCACCAGAAGAAGCCTTGGGATTCCTCATCCCAGAGCCTTCCTAGAAGAATAGCTTTCCCCTAAAAGCATTTACAGCCCTATAATGCAGATTTTCAGGGCAGGGTAAGATGAGGAGGACCTCACCCTACCCACCTCTGGCCTACAGTAAGAGGTGAATAATCTGAGGGATATGCTATGTGAGGAGAACCCCTGAATTCAAATCCCAGCTCTCCTATTTCCTAGCTGTGTGCCCCTGAGCAAGTCACTTTTCCCTCTCTGGGCATCGATTTCTTCCCTTTACGTTGGCAAGGGTGGGAGGTACGAGTAGACTAGATAGTGTCTCACGTCGTCCCAGGAATACAGGGCTCTAATAACTGAACCTGGGTCCCTCCAAGTTCACTGGGTTAACGGCCCTGCAAGGTTTCCAGGGTCTCCCTATTCCTAATCACCCTGCATGAGTGGCGGCTTGCTGCGCCCCTACCCCGAGCTAAGTAAGGGTGGGCGGGAGGTTGGCCCATCCCCAGGGAAGCAACCCAAACAGGCCCCACTCCCCTCTACACTTACGTGAGGGGCTTCTCCAGGCGGCTCCCAGGGGACCCCACAATCTCTCCGAGGGTGCAGAAGGCCTGGCCCAGGAAATCCTGCATGCCCAGGGTACCAAAAAAAAAAAAAAAAAAGCCAGTGTCACCCACTCTACCCACAGCCACCCCACCTCCCCTATCACCCCGTGCCTAGAAGTAGGCGGACTCTGAGATAACCAGAAGCAGCATCAGACATATGGGTCTGTGTCCCAGGGAAGCTCGAGGCTGACCCAGACTCTGGCACTGAAGAGAGTTTCTGAATCTCTGGGCAGTCACTGGCAGAACTCACATGTTTGGATAAATCCGGGCTCTTCGAGTCAACGTCGTAACTGCAGGGAACACACAGAGATAGTAAGGACGGCTGGGGCATCCTGTCCAGAACTTCTGGGGTCCCTTATCTGAGTCAAGACCCCCATATCCCCAAATACAGGCTCTGAGAAGGTAGGATATTTCTGGGAGTAACGACTGGGAGGCCCACATGGGAGCCTTGCAGGGTACTGGCCATATTCTGTCTCTTGATCTGGCTGATGGTTACATGAGGGTAAACAGATACAAAATGCATCATGGGATGGACTCTAAAGATTTGTGTACTTAACTATATATGTGTTATACCTCATTAAAGACTGAAAAACTAAAATAAACTTGCTTGGCAACCCTGGCTGGTTCTCAGGTGGCTGAGCCGCCTTGCCCTTCAAAGCCTGTTCTCCCATCTTCCCAGCTAAGGCGAGGTGCCCTTGGAGCTCAATACCTTGCCTTTGAACCTCCTGATGGTTTCACCTTGCCCAGGCCTGCCCGGCTTGACCTGGGGCCTCCTCACTCAAGAATGAGGGAGGCATGAACACTTTCCCCTCTTCCATCTGCACCTGGGCCCCTCCCTTGACCTGGAGCCCTCCCTTGACCTGGAGCTCCTGCAGCCCCTTTTCCAGCATCCCCCTCCCCCGCCCAACCCCATTGGCTGTCCAGGCCCCAAAGCCTCCCACTGAGGGGCAGTCCTTTTTACTCTACCCCTGCTCTAGCACTTTCTCTCTCCAAAATGTCCCCAAATGGTGTCTTCTCTATGATGCGCTATAAGTCCTCCCTCAGTCCCTCCAAAGTCATGTCCTTCCACTGCATTTTTTTCCCCTCTGCTCCTGCAAGCTCCCAACCCCCTTTTGGCCCACTCTGTCCACAGTCCTCTGGGATACAGTCCTTTCTAACCATCCTCATGCCTAGGAAAAACGAAACAAGGGTCCCCACACCCGCTCACCAGACTGAAATCCCATCATCATCTTTAACCTCAGAAGAAAGGTGGTCTGCACCTTTGTGGAACACATGCACATGCCCAAGGCCCCATCAAATCAGGTTACCTCTGCAGGAGGGGAGACCAGAGGGCACCCCTCTCCCAGAATAAGCTCCAGCAGAGGGAGAGGTCAATGGGGAAGTTCCCATCACCTGGGGAGAAAAAGGCTCCCGGGAAGCCCCCAAGATCTAACACCCAGAGTCAGGTGGCTTGCTCAGGGTCCTCCCACACTTAAGGGATACAAATGGTGGGGAGCCTCTGTTTTCTCTTCCCACCTCTTTTCTGTCTCCTGATGAGGGTGGGTCTGAACTTGAGCTAATTGTTTTTGTCCCAGACCAAACCTGAGATCCCTCTAATGTTACAGCACCCATCCCCTTCCTTGGTAAGAGAAACTACTACCAATCTCAGGTCCTAGAGCACCCCCTCCCATCTATGGTCCCCCTGCCCCTACAGACCCATCCTCAGCACCAGCTGCCACTTACAGATCAAAACGGAGGTTCTGCTTCTCCTCAAAGAAGTAATCCACAATGAATTTGCGCACAAAGTCAGGGTTGAGTGTATTGTCAATGACTTCAGTGCGTCCAAACTGCAAGAGAAAATAGGGTGTGGACCTCAGGACCAGGCTGTGGGGCAGGCGAGAGCACGGGGCTCCAAGTTCCTCAGTCTTGGCCCCAGTAGGAATGGGAAGCCTTGCCTTCTGGCCCCCATCCCCTATCCCCAGTCAGGGCAATAGCTCTTCCATCTAACAATGGAAACCATCCCCAATATGGCTCCAACTCCAACCTCGGCTTTCTTCTCCCGACCTCCATCTAGGCTCCACCCAAGTTACAAGGTTTTGATACCCGAATACCTGAGCAGGCCCTTCACTTCGGCTTTCCCTTTTCTGCCAGGGGCATGTCCTCCATTTCTTCAAAATCCTGTTAATGCTCCCTCCTCCAGAAAGCCTTCCTGATTCTTCCACCCAGAGAGGTTTACTTCCCTCTGAACCACTGCTGAACTTGGGCTCACCCCTACGACCACCATCCTTCTCTGATTCCACAGTTAGGTGACTAATTATTTGATGTCACCATTGTAAATGAAAGGGAGGAAGAAGGGATTGTAGGAGCTTTTAAGATCCCCACCTCCTGCCCATGCGCACTCCCTTCCCCTTGAAGGTGGGCTGGACTTCACAACTCACTACTAATGAATAGAATAGAGCACAAGCCACTGCCCAAAATATGTTATAAACTACCATGACTTCTGTCTTGGGGACCCTCTCTCACTCTCTTTTGCTTGCTCACTTCGAGGAAGCCAGCTGCGCTATGGAGAGGTCCGTGTGGCAAGGAACTGAGGGTAGCCTTGGGCCAACACCCAGTGAAAAGCCAGGCTGTCAGCCAACCTGCCTGTAAGAAACTGAATCTTCCCAAAACTACCAAGGGAACTTGGAAGCGGACCCTGCCCCGGCAGAAGCTCAAGACAACTGAGACCCTGGCCAACACCTTGACCACAGTCTTATAGAAGACCCTGAGGTAGAGGACCCCACAAAGCCACACCCAGATTTATGACCCTGTTGTTTAAGTTGCTCAGCTCTGGGCTAATTTGTTACACAGCAACAGATACCTAATACATGGACTTAACTTTCTCCACATCCCCTGCAGCAGACACTCTAGAATTTTACACACAGTAGGCACTCAATAGTTGAATCCCCTTAAACTCCCCAAATGACTTAAGGCAAGTCCCTCCGAGGTCTGGGCACCAGAATCACTTGGAGGGTTTGATAAAAGACCGATTATAGGCCTCACTCCCAAATATCCCTTCGACAAATATCCCTTTGACCTCCCTTTGACAACCCTTGGGTTCGACTATGGTCCACAGGGCTCTGAGCTCCTCGAGGTCTCCCTGCACTACAGAGGAGGGCAGTGGGGACATGTTTCCTGGCCATCAGGCCCATCAAAACAGCTCTCTCTTACATCTGTTTTTTGTTTTTTTTTCTTACATCTATTCAGTACACTGGACATTTCTGGTGATATTTTGTTTAAAAAAAAAGGGACACAGGGCTAAAAGATCAAGTGTAAAAGCAGTGTGCTCTGTGTTTCATGAAGTGAAGGCATGATACCAACCCTACAAAATGAATAAGACAGACAAGTGCATGATAAATATTTTAAATAAGTTGTGAATATTTCTGAATACATAAACATGTTTTTTTCAATTTGGACGGTAATTGCCAAAATAAAAAATTAATCCCGAGTATTAGTCCCCCTTAATGGGGCTCTGCAGCTCAGAAAAATGCCAGTACACAGGTCCCTCTCCTGTGCGGTGGGCAAGATCTTCTTCTCTGGGACTTAGCCCAGCACTCACTTGTACCCTGATTTAAGTTAGAAAGCTGCAAAGAGAACCTCCCACCCAAGGACATGTGGGGTCATCTGAGCACTCCATCTGGCATCATCTTGCCTTTACTCCCTGTCAATTTCACCAACTGAGCCTCTCTCCTTTCCCCCGTACCCACTTCCTCCCCTGTGACCTCAGCCAGGGCTCCCCATTTTCTGAACTCAACCCTTGCCGCAGCCTCCTAGAGGGCCCCCTAAGTGAGAACACTGCTAATGCTTGAAGACCCAGCCCCCGGGAGCTCCTGCTCTACATCTCCCAACCCCTCCCCTATGCTCCCATAATGCACCTGGTGTCCCTATGGCTGCACTTACTATGTCACCTGACAACAACCTACTGAGGCTCTTCCCACCCCACTAGAGCTTCTCGAACAGCCAAGGATCCAAGTTCCCCTCATTTTTGCAGCCCAGGACCAGCCACTGTTTAACAGACTCCCATTCTCAGTCACCAGTGCTTATAAGTATGAGGAACCACGTGACACATTTTGCACCGTATTTACCTTATTTCGTCCTTTTATGGTAGGCTCCCCATTTTACAGATAGGAAAACAAAAGCACAGAAAAGCTAAGTTATCTGTCTAGGGTTCCACAACTAATCATTGCTGAGGGCAAGTCACAACCTAGGCATTCTGGCCCATGCCTTCCATGCCCCAGGTGCTCCCTGTGAGGTCCCTCGCGAGGGCAAAGGCTGGTCACTGCTCTCAGTGCCTGGTATGCACTGGGGACTCAGAAACCATTGAATGAAGTAAGGTTGAATGAGGAAAGGGAAGAGCGGGTTTGAGTCGCAAGCTTATCACAAGCTAATTGTGGGACTTGATTGAAGAAAGCTTCCATTTCCTCATCAGAAGATGGGAGAACACTACGTGTCCTGCTTACTTCTTAGAGGTATCATCCAACTCAATTACCGATTCAACAAACAGTTTTTCAGCACTTACTATAGGCCAGACAAAGAGCTTGTGCTGAGCTACGAATATAAAGAGAACATGAATCCTTTACTTAAGGACTTCTCTGTCATTGGTGAGACAACTCATAAACAATAACCGTAACACAGTGTCACAACAGAGCCATAGACAAACATCTACAACAGGGTCTTCCCCAGCTACACACCAGAAGCCCCCTGGGAGAAATGTGAAAGATGTTGACACAAAGACAGATTACTGGGTGTCCTATTTCACAGACTGGTCCAGGCATCTGACTTCACCGAGATCTGCACCCCTCATGATTATTGAGCTATTCTATAACAGAAAATTGCAGAAAGCACATCATAATGCAAATGATTCTTATCCGTAGAAATGTAAATACATTTGGCTCAGTAGAATGCAATTATTTGATTATTGTCCTGTTGATACTGACCAATTCTGCATCTATTTTTAAATTTCAGCATTCCTGATTGCCTGTATACAGCTGACCTGCAACAATGCAGGGGTTAGGGGAGTGGACCTCCACACCCTGTCGAAAATCCAGGTATAACTTTCGACTCCCCCAAAACTTAATAGCCAGCCTACTGTTGACCGGAAGCCTTGCAGACAACAAGAAGTTGATTAAGAAATATTTTGAAAAAAAAAATGTATTTTGTATGTTATATGTATTACATACTGTATTCTTACAATAAAGTAAGCCAGAAAAAGAATATGTTATTAAGAAAATCATAAAGAAGAAATTTATTGAAATGAAAAAAAAATCATTTACTGAAAAAAATCTGTGTATCAGTGGACCTGTGCCAATCAAACTTGTGTTGTTCAAGGGTCGATAGAATGTGTGTTGAGTCATCTGAACCAGCTGTAACATCTTACTAGTTCCTTCATTTAATTAACAAGTTAAACAAATCTTTACCATGTGTTCATTTTACCTTTAGAGAAGATGTATCCTTTAACAGGAGCTTTTTAATAATACCCAGGCTCAAAATCCCGCCACAGACCAATGAAACCCAGTCTCCCTGGGTGGGGCCTGAACAACTGTTTTCTCAGTTTCCCAGGTGATTCTAACGCACAGTTGGAGTTGAGAACCACTGATGGAAGAAGAACACTAACATTTACTGAACCCCTTCTGAATGCTCACTAGATCAAGTGGATCATTATCTCATTTGATTCTCACACTGCCACCCCCACCCCACCCCACCCCCCGTGAGTAACTACCCATTTTCCAAGTGAGGAAACAGAATCAGAGAGGTTAAGTCACTTGCCCAAGGTCACACAGCTAGGCAGAGCTGGGACCTAAATGCAGGTATGTGTAATCCAAAGCGCATTATATTTTTACTTCATCTAATGTTCTCAAGCACTATGAAAATCAAATAAAGATGAGATTTACTTCACAAATATTTATAAAAGCCCCACTGTGTACATGCAATGGGGTAGATATTGAGTCAAATAAGACTGGGTTCCCGGCATAGCCCCTAAATTCAGTGACAATCTTACAATGTATAATCCATCTCTTGTTCCAAGAGAATTCCTGCATTTTCCTCTTCTGCTCTCATTCTTAATACCTCTAGTCTTCAGACAAAAGGAAAATTTCTCCTAATGGCTTTCTTGCAGAGTATTCTGGGTAAACACCCAGGTGTGAGAAAATCCTCCTTTAAGAAAGGGCTCTACCTCCTCTTCAGTGTACGGCTCCCTGAAACATGTTAAACAATCCCTCTGGCTGGATTTTAGATACACCCCAGCCCAGAAGGAGAAAGCATTTGTGCTGCCTCTCTCCCACCCGACTCTCAGCAGAGACTCCAAGGAAAACACCCATTAGGGAAGATGACAGCGCCACTTTTAAAATGGCACTTGAAGCTTCAATAGAGGGGAATTCCCTAGAGATTGATCTCTGCCAGAGAAGAAAATGGAGTTCCCCTGGAAACAGGACTTGGAGTGGGACTGCAAAGTCCCCCAAGATCTCCTAGAGAGGAGAGGGAGCCATTGAGCCAGGCTGGGCAGTGATGAATTTCCAACAGGCAGAGGTAATTCACATATGCCGGGCACAAACACGGTGAAATCTACAATCAAGGAGGGACTTACCAAAGATGTTTTATAGCCTTCATTACTTGGGCTAATCACAAAGGGAACAAAGACAAAAGACAAAAAGCTTGGATTTTGAAAATCCAAGAAGCCGATAGGTCTCTGTCAGTTCCAATTTTATACCCCTATTAATGACAATAGGAAACAACCTAACTGATGTCTTTTAAAAAAATCAATTTGGTTGTATTTCATTCCACATAGAATTGGTTTCCAAGCCCGAAGGGA